TATATATATATTAGCTCTGGAGCTAACATCATATATATATTAGCTCAGGAGCTAACATCATATATATATTAGCTCAGGAGCTAACATCATATATATATTAGCTCAGGAGCTAACACCTCAACATGTTGATGGTCTGTACCTGGTTGAACGGAGGGGCAGATGTTTTGACACGCTGTTGGAACAGAACGCTCAGGATCCGGTTCTGCTGCTCCAAGTCGAACACACGAGTCCKCAGCTTCACACACTCCTCCTTCAGGTCCTGGAAACATAAAAATAAAAACACGTCAAGTTAAAACCAGCTGTACGGYAGTCAAACCTTGGGTATAATGTTATCTGTGATTAATGTTTTGCTGTTTAAATATAAAAACAGACTCATGGCTAAAACAAMMMCCTGATTAAAGATGGCTGCCACAGCTAATCAACATTATGGTTTTACTGTTTGGGTCGACGCTGTTTACCAACCTTTTGTGTGAGGAGGGCCTGGACCACCTGGTTGGCCACCTGGCAGAGACAAAACATTTTGATTATTTTAGTTTTTTATATCTTTGATTTGAGACCAAAGACTGTAAAAAGACCCAAACATTGAAYCTATGATGGGTAAAAACTGTCATCAACTGCAGTGAAACCATCACAGTTCTGAATAACGTGTTTTTAATTAAAAGCTTGATTGAGAAACTGAAGGGTTTTTATTTCAGAAGTGGAAGCTGTGGTTTTTCTTCACACTCAATCATAATAACGATGTTTTTATGCTACCAAAAGCTCATTCAGACGATAATATAAACCCTGTCTGAAAGCTTTTCCCCTGCAGAACGAGCTTCATGAACATAATGGGACTGAAAAGCAGCAGAAGAGCAGAAAATAAACGCTGAGTTTTGCGTCCTCGGCTGGTTAAATCCTCGCGGGCAGAGCTCTCTGAGGTAACAAACCCATTAGTGGAGCCGCTCAGACGCTAAAGTGGTGCCGTTTAAGACTTTCAACGTGATGTCAGGGAGGAAAATAAAGTTATTCAAATCATCCGATGGAGTCTCGCTCTTCTCTTCATCTGGTTTGTGACCGCCTGCATGAGCTGCTTTCTGCTGCAGCTCCACAGAAAAACAACTTTCTGTTTGAAAAAAGCTGTTTTGAAGACGCGCAGCGTATAAATCAGATGTTTAAACTAAGAAATTGTTCCGTTTTAGAGCTTCAGCTTCTATAAAAGGCTCTTTTTATACCCAGTCCTGCCTCTCTGATGGTATAGGGGTGCATTGAGGTCACAGAGGTAATGGTAAATAAGGTAAGAAGTTGTTTTTGAAGTCCGGCGTCCAACATGGAGGAGTGTTCGTGAAGGCCTCACCTCGTCCAGGCAGCGCTCGTACTGCTTCCTCTGGTTGTCGTTCTCCACGGACAGAGCAGAGTTCTCCGCCTGCAGAGACACGCAGTGTTAAAACGTTCATCTTAGCACAAACGACTCGTGGAAGTCTTTCTGACAGCTTCCTGTTTCTGAACCACAGAAGAAGAAATAACTGAATGCTCTTATCAGCCGAAATCACAGCTTTAATAACAGAGTCATAAATAATAAATAAATAATTATGGAAGGTTTGCAAACCTGTTTCTTTTAGCTGCTTAGCATCGAAATGTTCGGTTTGTTCACTTTGATGGTTTGTTTCCATAATCTTTATTCTTTTGAAATTTAAGGAAATTTTTACAAATGCTTCATTTAAATTTTTGTTAACTTTGATTTCTGCTTCAGTGAACAGGCTGAGGATGTTTTTACTTTTAGCTTTTAGCTAATGTTTCACTACTTTTAACTGTTTGCTAATTTTAGCTTTCAGTTAGCACTTTACGACTTTTAGCTAGTGTTTGTAAACTGTTATCTTTTAGCCAGCATTTTGTTTCAACAGTTTTATCCTTTAGCTAGCCTCTTGATACATTTTTCTTTTAGCTAGCCTTTTGCTGGTTTTAACTATGTTTCATATCTTGCTACTTTTAGCTGGCCCTTTGTTTTGACACTTATTTTTTAGCTAGCCTCTGGCTATGTTTAGCTTTAGCTGTGTGTTTTTTAGGTAGCATTTTGCTACATTTATCTTGTAGCTAGTGTTTTTTTCCTACTGTTAACTTTTAGCTAGCCTCTTGCTGATTTTATGATTGTTTCATATATTTTAGCTAGTCTCTTGCTACTTTTAACTAGCCTCTGGCTACTTTAGCTTTAGCTGTGTGTCTTTTAGCTAGCATTTTGCTGCATTTACATTTTAGCTAGCCTCTGGCTACTTTTAGCTTTAGCTGTGTGTCTTTTANATTTTAGCTAGCCTCTGGCTACTTTTAGCTTTAGCTGTGTGTCTTTTAGCTAGCATTTTGCTGCATTTATATTTTAGCTAGCCTCTGGCTACTTTTAGCTTTAGCTGTGTCTTTTAGCTAGCATCATGCTACATTTATATTTTAGCTAGCCTCTGGCTACTTTAGCTTTAGCTGTGTCTTTTAGCTAGCATTTTGCTACTGTTACCTTTTACCTAGCCTCTTGCTGATTTTAGCATGGTTTCATATATTTTAGCTAGTCTCTTGCTAATTTTANTTTTAGCTAGCATTTTGCTACTGTTACCTTTTACCTAGCCTCTTGCTGATTTTAGCATGGTTTCATATATTTTAGCTAGTCTCTTGCTAATTTTAACTAGCCTCTGGCTACTTTAGCTTTAGCTGTGTGTCTTTTAGCTAGCATTATGCTACATTCATATTTTAGTTAGCCTCTGGCTACTTTAGCTTTAGCTGTGTCTTTTAGCTTCAGCATCTTAGTTTTGCTTCTTCAGCTGGTTTAGACGTTCAGCGCTCTCTCTGTGTTGTTTCAGTTCAGATTAGCTCAGATTACAGACCCTCCTGTAATCTCAGGTAATCTGAGTTTACCTCCAGAGCTTGAAGGCGCTCCAGCAGGGGGTTGGGGTCCAGCTGGTTTTCCTCGGACCCCCCACCGGCCTGTGGTGGACCTGCGGTCTCCTCTGCTGCTGTGGGACCCCCCAGACTGTCCTGCTGCTTCCACATCTCCTCCAGGAGTTTGTCCTGGAAGGAAACGAGACCATGAAGGATCTAATCTGAGTTCTCATGAGGACAGAGGACCGGGACCAAACAGAACCTTGTAGGCTTTCATCAGGTCCAGTGGGTCCACTTTGGGCCCCTCCAGTGAGTCCTGGTTCTGCAGCAGCGACCGGACCGTCTCCTCCATGCTGCAGAAACAAACATGATGCTGGTTACCCTCAAGATACGACCACCTGGTCCAGTCAGGTCTGTGGTTCTGTTGGTCCAGTCTGGTCTGTGGTTCTGTTGGTCCAGTCTGGTCTGTGGTTCTGTTGGTCCAGTCTGGTCTGTGGTTCTGTTGGTCCAGTCTGGTCTGTG